TTGAAGGCCTGCCTCCGGATCGAATTGTTCCAACAGTGGGGATAAATATTGGTCGAATAGAAGTCTCAAATACAAAGCTTGTTTTCTGGGATCTAGGAGGCCAGGTACGTAGATTCTTATTCTCTTCCTCTATTACAGAATTACAGATTATTGATTTTCTTCTTTTATCTGTGTTATTCCTAGTACCTACTAGCCTTTCAAATGTTCAATTGAGGGAAAGTATACGGTACTCTCTTCCTCTATGCATAGAAAATTAGAATCTAAAAGTGGAATGTTATATCATTTGAGGTTATTTTCACTGATGTACTTGTTTCCCAATGTAAAGTAAGAACATAAGATGTTCTAGAAATAGTTGAGTTATTATCTTAAAAGTGCGGTTTTACCAATTGCTAAAGTCCTCACAGTATGCTTCTTGGGATTTCTTATGGCATCCAAGTATGTTAACATTTTGCCTGCCAATGGGAGGAAGCTGTTAAATGGGGGTAAGTATCCCTTTTCTTATATGATTCTTCTAGTTCTTGAATATTTGTATGCTTTACAAAGTTGGAATTTAGAGAATATAGACGGGCATTATGTTAGTTTGAGGGAAACTTTAAGCAGTCTTAATAAATTATGAAGCCTGTAGTTTTATAAACAGAATGCAGCAGCCATAAGGTAAGTAGAATTTATACCAGATTCTGAATTGTCGGATTTTATTGTAGTTCTGACATGATCTAACAGTTTAAAACTCTGACCCGCTGGTAGGGTATTTTTTGATACTACCATAAAATTCTCCGAGCCTTGTTCAGCCACCATACCCCTTCTTTAAGTTTACAATTGTGCAAATTGGAATTGGTAAGATGCTTATCATCATGGTACAAGTTTCACTTTTTGTTTTAAAGTTTTCATCTCTTCAGTTAGATTGTACAAAGCTGAATGATCCACCATTGCTTGAAGTTCTTTCAGTAAATTTCTTTAAGAACTGCACCCTAGCTACTTTGGCTTTGCGCTTCTCTTGCGTACGCTTATTTCGGATTATCTTATATTCAATGCAGTGAACATCCGAAATGTACCGCTTGTTTTAATTGCAGCTTTATGTAGAGACAAAAACAACCCTTTTGGTGACACATGTAGCATAGACGGAACTGCATATATTTCATTTGGACAGTGGGTGAGCGAGTTTATAACATTTCGAACCGAAATAACTAGAACTCATTGACAGTTATCCCAATTGAGAATTATGTTGTGCTCTAACTATCACTGTTTTTGCAATAACCTCCTCTTAAATTTACTTCACCAGGATATAATAAATTATTCTTACCTGTCACCAATCTTGCTATGCTTTTTAGGTTGGTGCAATCATTCTATATACATATGTATTTCAAATGTTGGAACCGCCTCAAGGATCCTTTGACTTTTTTTACACTATTCTACATTTAACCTCCCTTGTAAACAGCACGGTCAACAAATGTTCGAGGACCAACTACATGTCAAGGAATTAACAAGTTAGTGTCCAACAAAGAAAAGCTTCAAGTACATTACATTGAATTAGATGATTGGGAGTGGATGTGCACCAATTACTTTGGCGATGATCAATGGCAGGTAAAATGAACAACTTAACTGTATTATGAAACATTTGTTTGAGAATGTGGTTTTGGATATGCAAATTGGGTGGCTCAAGATCTATAGTTCAACATTTGGAGGAAGTTCATATAATTAACTTTCACTCACTTGAGTATATTACCACTTGAAATCGTAATTTCTTTTTTCTTTTTAACTAATAAATAATAATTTTTATGTAGAACACACATTCGAGTTCTGACTCAAATGCTTTGGGATGGTACTTTAAGGTCTTCAAGAACTCATTGGAGCGAATCACGGGGATGGACAACTGAGAGAACAAAGGAAGATTATCTAAGAATTACTAAACACTTTATCATTTCGTTTGATTTTGTATTTTTTTTACTCTAACTTGAAAGTTTATAACACTTCACCTAATGCAGGAACAAATGATCAAGATTCGCGATGCTCATTTAAGTGAAGTACCATAGGGGTCAGAACTTGACTATGATGTAGAGGAAGAAATTTACTCTCAAGTTTTGTCAAGTGAGAGGTATGGAAAATATAGTTTCAAGCGTGGCATAGGTCCTGTACTAAGAAAATCACCACAAGCTCGCAAATCTAGAGGGTCAGGATATGAAAAGCTTGAAAATGAAGTTGAGGAAAACAAACGTCGTATGTCGGATATGGAAATTCTAATGAAGCAACAACATGAGCTTATTCAAAAGCTACTTCAACAGATAAATCCGCCATCAGATCATCCTGGACCTTCCGTCCCAAGAAGTAAAGATCCTCCGCCACCGTCACCACCGGCCTCAGTTTGTTAGAGCGATTAATTTTTGTAATATTAAGATTTTACTAGTATAATATTTGCATAAGTGTTTGGGTTTGTTTAAGTATGACTATTTTAGTATTTTGTTTGGATTCTAATATGTATTAAAATATTTAGAGATTTTTAAATTAATATTTGGTATTTCATTTATATATTTATTTTTTTAAAAATATAGGTATATAAATCTGTCTCAGTTTTGGTGACCAAAAAAATTCGGTAGCAACAAATTAGTTATTTGCTACTTAATATTTGGTACCTGATTCTTGTTCTTTTCGTTACTAAATACATTTTGCTACTAAAAATTTGGTTCTTATATCTCATATTTTTCGCTACTAAATACTTTTTGCTATTGAATATTTGGTCACCAAATATTATACATTTCGCTATCAAATACAATTTGATACCAAATATTTGGTCCCTAAATCTCATGAATTTTGTTACCAAATGCCTTTTGTTACCAAATATTTGGTGACTGAATCGCGTACTTTTTGCTACTAAATATATTTTGCTACCAAAATTTCCAGGTCCTAAAGCTTACACTTTTTGCTACCAAAAACCTTTCGCTACCGAAATTTTTGATCTCCGAATATTATATATTTTGCTACCAAATACATTTTGTTACTAAAAAATTTTTTGGTAGCAAAAATTATTTGCTACCAAAATTTTGGTAACTAATACTTTTTGCTACGCACTTTTTGCTACTAAAATTTTTTGGTAACAAAAACATTTTGCTACCAAAAGTAGGGTTTTTGGTTACCAAATTTTTGGTAACAACAAATTCAAATTCTTGTAGTGGATACACCTTAGTTCTTGATCAGAAGTTATTACTAATGTATTAGAATTAGAAGCTTTACTGTAGATTGAGGTTCATAAAATTAGGAATAACATTCACACACACGTCCACACACATCTATCCATGTAAGTTGATGGCATCAAGAGGTGATCATATATATAGTCTTTGTGAAAATTTCAAAAATTAAGATGATTTTTAACGGGTTATCGATTACCAAACGAGAAAAGAAATTAAACACTAATACTTGTAAATTTGCAGCAAATATATTATGGAGATTAAACATGCTTATAATCAGAGAATATGTTGATCTGACATTATACATATAACGTGTGAGTTCATGTATATTACTTTAGGCTTATAAAAATGTCAGTTTTTTTTCCATATATATATATATATATATATGTATACCTAGTACTTTTGGTATTTGAGATGCTTGACTTAAACGCAGAACAACACTAGCTACTTACATCTGTGAAGAAACTCATCTAGAAACCCTAATCAGAAACCCTAATGTGGAAGGAAGTATATTTCTCATATACCTCGAAAGAATTGAAGTTAAAAAATGTATATTTAAAAAAAGAAAGAAAGAAAGAGAGCGGGAGAACTCTAGAAAGTAGAAAGTAAAAACCTAGCCAGCTAAAACTCCTTAATTTACTCGCAATATCTTTTGTCTTTTTATTGAAGTGACTTGATACAATGAATGAACATTAACGTATATACCCAAGAATTGTTTTAATATATAGTTTGTAGCGTGGTATCTTAGCCAATGAATGGTGGTCCATCCAAACAAAGAAATGTTAAATAAACCCCAACACGTATATTATTATATACACACATTTATATGCATATATATATATATATATATATATTCTAATCTTCAATCTCTACTCAACATTTTACAGATAATGCCTCTCGACCGGTATGTTCGGTGTAGGCAAATACTGATTAACAGATCGGAGCAAGATATATATCTCTAGAGGATCGATTCACCAAAGTAACAATATCGGTGAAGAATATGAAACTCATGAAATCGTTATTTCCTTAATATTAACCATGGAAATTAGACAGCCTTATATACAGGACAATTAGTTCAGTTTACTTAATTAGCAGTTCCTAATTATGAACGTGATATCATATCAAGACGCTAATTATCAAAGTGTGATGAGCTTTAAAATAATATATGGTTAGCGCATATATGAAACGCGCGATATCAAATTTAACACATAGCATTTATAATTAGTATATGCTTTAAAACAATATCTGGTTAGCGCATATATGAAACGCGAGATATCAAATTTAACACATAGCATTTATAATTAGTATATGAGAAAAATATAATAAAGCTAAAGCTAATAGAGAGAGAGAGAGAGAGAGAGAGAGAGAGAGAGAGAGAGAGAGAGAGAGAGAGAGAGAGACTAATAGAGAGAGAGAGAGAGAGAGAGAGAGAGAGAGAGAGAGAGAGAGAGAGAGAGAGAGAGAGAGAGAGAGAGAGAGAGAGATTCCCAAATTAAGTAGCAAAATTAAAAGCGGAGTCTACAACATAATAGGTTCATCAGTAATTAAAATCATGGTTAAACTAAGGCTAATTAATTGTCTAGCTTGTTATAGTAGCTAGCTAATATAGCTAATTGCTTAATCCCCCTTATAAGGAATTTGCAATTAGTACTACTTCTACTACTTTAGCATCATACAAAACTCTATCCCATAGCGTCAAATATCAAATTATTTTACCTTCAAAAACTCGAGATCCGAGTTAAATTGCTACTTTATCATGAAAAAGATTGAAGTGTGGGGGATAATTAGCTGATCAACTTCTAGTATCTTCCAAAGCTGAAGTACTAAACACGATCGGAATCATCCTCGGAACGACGTCGTCCGTCGACCAAATATTCTCGAAGATCATGATCATGATTATTATTCAACCTCAAATCATTATTCCCTAATTCATGATGACCATTAGTACTTTTAGCCTTTTCTTGATTAGCCCTATCTCCTTCCATTTCCCTATACTTATGCAAGTACCTTCTAAGAGGCCCGGCGTAGTCGTCAAACCCTAGGGCTTGCAAGGCCCAGCACACGTCGTCCCCGTTGACCGTCTTCCGCCTCTCCTTCCGGCACTTGTCGGTGGCCTCGCCCGTGATGAAGCTGATGAACTCCGACACGCACTCTTGCATCGTCTCCTTCGATTGCTTCGAGATCTTCACGTTCGGCGGCAGGATGTGCTTCATGATCCGTCCCACGTTGGCAATTGGAAGCAGCCGCTCATGCTCTCTGATGATTTCATGATCTACTTCTCTGTTGATGTTTGAAGCACCTGAAGGACCATTAATACTAAGGTTGTTGTCCATTTTGAAGTACTTTTTGACTTGAAACAACAAAGTACTACAACTAGTACAGTACTACTTGGTGAGGTTGTACTTGTGTGTGTTTTGGGTCAAAACCCCGGTTTTATATGCAAGTAATTTGCATATTTTTACTGTAATATATATACACACACACACATATATGTATGTGTGTAGGTGCACATATATATGTAGTGTATATGTGTATATTATTTATATAGTGTATATGTGTATATTAATTATATATGTGTATATAGTTCTGTCTTATTCTTTTAAATAGCACGATCAGGCCGACCATGTCGGCATCATTGCTAATATTAGGACCACACGCGCAATCTCAATCTATATAATATATTCATATCATATTATATGTGTGATATATATATATATATATGTATGAGAAATCAAATTAAAATCATGCATGCCACAATAAACAGTATACGAATCTGAGGAGTGAGAAATATTAATGGGCGTTTGGTATTATTTTCAAAATGGTTTTGTTTTCGGTACAAAGATGAAAATGAGATTGTTTTAAAAATCATTCCTGAAACCGATTCATAAATTATGTTTTGTGGTCTTCAAAAGATTGGTTTGAGCATAATAAAAAAGTGAAATCGTGTTTGGTTATATTTATGTTTGTTTTGAGTATATGAAATTAATAATCTTAAATTAATATATTAAGTAATTAATAATTGATAATTATTTAGCAAATAAAAATTAATATATTAATAATATAATTATAATGGATAAATTATCATTAGTGAGTACATTAGTAATTAAATTATATATATAATAAATTAATGTGCTAAGTAATTAAAAAATAGTAATTAGTAATTAATTATAAATAATTACTGTGTTAGTAATGTACTCATATTTATTAGATTATAAGTAATTAATTAGTGTATTAAGAAAAATAATTAGTATATACATAATTTATTAATATTCCGTTCAATACTTAAATTATTAACGTTTAGTTACATAATTAAATAATTAGTTAATTAATTACTAATGTTTATTTAATAATCTATTATTTGATATATCACATGATCAATTTTTGGTAATTATTCTTTTTATAATGATTAATTACTAATTATCAATTATTAATTATTATTGATTAGAATATTACATATTGATAATTATAATTTAATAGTAATTATTAATTGAGTAATTACTTTTTATTTTTTATTTACCAACCATTTACTAATTAATTGATTATAATTAACCTAATATATGATTGATATATTAATTATTAATTATTTATTCAATAACCTATTATTACTTGTTTTATTGGTAATATGTTATATAATTAATTTTTGGCAATTAATCTTTAACTAAATAATTAATTACTATATTATTTATTATTTTATTAATAAAATTAAAAACTTAATAGTAATAAATGAATATTTAATTAATAATTAAGTAATTACTATATGTTTATTAGTTATTAAGTATATTATTTATTAATTATTGATTAATATATAATATAATTAGTAATTAATGATTATTTATTTAATATAACTTTGTTGATAAGTACTAGAAAATGAAAACAGAAAAGGAAAAACAACTTTCAATTGTTTTTTACTTTCTTCACAAAAATCATTCTCATTGTTTTTTGTTTTCGTTTCCGTTTTCAAAACTTTTATTAAACAAATGCGATTTGTAAACAATTTTCGTTTTTATACCTCAAAAGACGTGCAGAAATATTTTTAAAAATAATTCCAAACGCACCTAATATTTTCTTATATTAATTTTTTTGTACCTTATAGAAAAGTTTATATATGTGATATATATACATGGAAAATGAGCCGCGTCATGAAAACGAAAATAATAACTCATTAGGGTAAAAAGGTTATAGAACAAAACAGGAGTCATTATTTTAGAATTTAGAGAATTTTGATTAATTTATTCATAGGATTGGGTTACAATATGTGTGAAGCTCCTTTTTTCATATCTCTTTTCGTGTCTTCCTAATAACGTCATGTCACATTTAAAATATTTTAACTTATAAAACTTTTTATCAATTGATGTGGCGTGATATTAAGGGACACAAAAATGGACAGAAACAAGGAAATGCACGAGTTGAAATCTTGTTCATGATGTTCGTGGTATAAATTTTTTTGTGATGTTTACCATGACTTATATATTGTTGTTAATTACGTAACTAAGTCCACAATTTTATAACCAAATATGAAAGTTGGTGTCTTACAAATAATTTTTGCTTGAGTACTGGCTACTTGCATGCAAAAGTACTATATTATTTAAATTAAAAAATAAAAATGGATGCTGAGAGGGTATTGTGGATCACAACAACTCTTATTTAATATATAATAACATACTTTTATAAAACCTTAATGCTTTTGAGAATCGTGCAGCCTCATCCATATGAATTTTGAACTGTAAAGTTCTCCAATTAGCAAACAACATTTAATATATCCGTGGATTCAGCAAGATCTTGAACTTTTTTAGTGAAAAAAAAAGAACATTGAGATTTGATTAATCAAAATAAGACTCAAGTTTACGTCATTCTATACGACAGCAACCAATTTCTTTTCTTTCATTTAAGCATTGTGCTTTTATACACATATATATAATATATATATATATATAAACACACATATAATATGTGTGTGTACGTATGTCAAACTTTTAATAATTAATTGCAACGCTCGTGAGCTGAGGTGGAGCACTGAATTTTTCGTCCAATCAGATAATGCTTTGAAAATTTTTAAGATATATTTTCTTTCACTTCTTTTGCCTATCAAAGAATCATCGATTGATAAAGACTTGAAAAGGGAAAAGCAAAAGATTAAAAGTTTCACATATATAAGGCGTATGCTTTATCTGTTAAGAATATATAGCAATTGATTAACTTTACTTTGCTTAACTAGGTTTTTCAGGAGAAACACGTTATATATCAAGACATATATCATGGGTGCAGACATGATTTCTTAGTAAATAAACACCTAATTATACTTTTAGGTGTAGAGTTTAAAGGACTCAAATTCACTGCCCCATTTTACTGTCTTATTTGGTGTCTAACTAATCATATCATGTTATCTCATGTAAAAAATTTAAATTATTTTTTAATTAATTTTTTTGTGTTTATTATAAGATGAAGTGGTGTGATTTAATTAGTTGGACACTAATTAAGATACTAAAAATTAGATAAAGAATTTGAATCCGAGTTTAAATCCTCTCCATATTTAACATAATAATAAACATATATAAGACACAAACATAATTGAGTACTATATAAAATTGAGTCAGTCACTTCAGTTTTTTTCCTTTTTTATTTAATCACGTTTAAATTTATATATGGTAATTTAGTTTGCCCCATTCAATATAAGGAATCAGAAAATTAAATATTAATCTTTGCTTTCCTCTTTATATTGATTTATGGTTAAATATTAATAAATGAACATATTTATTTATACGCATAAATTTACATATTATAAGCTAATGATTATTTAATTATGTAATATGTTGTTTTAATAGTTAAAGTTGATAATTAAGATTCCTATTGCTAAGTTTAGTGAACATTAAAAAGAAAATCGTATAATTTTATTATTGAGTTAATTACATATTTGCATATTTTACAATAGATGAGAAAAGGAATGTCCACAAGTTGTTGTATTTACATATAAGTCTGTAAAATAACTCAGTCATATAAATTCACAACCACCCAGATAAAAAATGATATAGTTAAAATTATATTATATCAGTAACTATAAAATGGACATATTGTTGAATTAAACCCATATCTTAAACATAGAAAGTAAAAATGATCATTTCGTGTAAATACTTCTTAAATACTTCTCTATTACTTCACTTTCTACATATAAGTAAGCGCTAGAAATACTCTTTGAAATTTTATTTTATAATGGTTTGGTAAACATGACCTAAAATGATAATTGGGAACCACGATTTGGTTTTGGTTTCCACTAGATTATCCTAGTTGTAGTTGATGATTTTTTTATAATTTGCCACGAACCTATTTTGTATGGTTTATATGTGTAAATCCTAATGGTTTACGTTGACTGGATAATAAATAGTGTTCTGGCGCAGATCACCAAAGCAAAACTTGTCATATATATGATTGGGATGTACTACCACTATTATAGTTATTCTAACAATGATAAATATTATACTATATACAATGATTCTTTCCTAGGCACTCCACTAGAAAATTGATAATATAAATTAAGGGGAAAATATAAATGGAGTGAAAAAGAAAATATAAAAAAAAAAAAAAAAATTCTTCGCCAAGTATTATATATCAAAATGCTTCAAGGTTCTATATTATATCCCAAGTTGAACGGTTTTGTTTTTTCTCTTTTGGTTTTTTGCATCATAGCAGATTGACCAAAACTTGAGGACACACGAATCTTTGTATATTCTAAGTTCATATTTACTATATATTAGCATATTTATTGTCGGCTGAATATACATAGATACTAAAGAGACAAAACAAAACACAAAATTCAGCGGAAGCACCTAAAAATAAAGCTTAGACATGGTATTTCTTATGATTATGATATATGAACAAGTCAAAAACTAAGCCTATATAAGTTGGAAAGTCCTTTGAGAATCTCTAAGAATATCCCACAATGTGCAATTAAATTTTGCAAATTAATTGAGAAAATTCCCTTTCATTATTTCATCTAATCAGTTTACATATAAAAGCTTAATTCATGGGCAATTTTTAAGAATACTCCCTTGTATTTTTACCTTTTAATATTAATCAATATATTTCTACCTTTTAAACTACGACTAGTTAAAAGGATAGAGTTTTTTAAAAGAGGTACTTTTAATAAGTTGGGTATTTAAACAAGTAGAATCTATAATTTTTTCTTAGTAAACGTTTGTTTCTTGTATTCGTCACTGATTCTAAATCATGATTCATGGTTCTCTACAGTATTTTTTTCTCACAAAAAACACACGTAAAACGAGAATGGTTCTGAATCTATAAACTAAACGTCCACTTAATTTTTTATATTCTCTTAATT